TGAGCGCACTCCCCGCAAGAAGGAGCCTCCACGGGCCTCGCCCCCAGGGGGCCTGGCCGAGCCTCCGACAGCCGGGCCTCAGGCGGGTCCCACGGTGGTGCCCGGCTCCGCGACGCCCATGGAGACCGGAATAGCCGAGACCCCGGAGGGCCGACGGACCAGCCGGCGCAAGCGGGCGAAGGTGAGGCCCAGCCCTGGCCCCTGCGCGGGGTCCGAGCCCGCGAACACCCGGCCTGCGGGCGGGCCACGCACAATCGGCGGCACTGCGCGTCGGGGGAGGGGAGGGCTGTCCTTTGTGCCGGGACGGGTCGGCGTGGACATCAGAGACCCGGGAGGGAGGTAGCATTACGTCCCGGTCGCCGCTCATCTTTTGACTGGGAAAGATGGCCTCCCGACGTGGAGTCGCGGCTGCCGCTGCTGCAGACTCTTGTTTGTCCACCCGTGTGGCTGGAAGGTTCTGGGCTGGGTACGCTGGGTGCACAGGGGAGCTAGCTGCTCTGCTACTGCACGGCTGGGTGCACCGGGGAGCCGGAGGTGATGCTCGAGAGCCAAGGGACATGAAAAGAAAGGAACCTTCTGTTTAAAAAAATCTCTTGCTGTTTGCCAGGAGCCTTTTGATTTTATTCTCTCAGTGATCCTTTGGTGTAGCCTTTGGGCGGCGGGGGCACAGGACCTCCCTAGTCAGCCCCTGACAGGCCTGTAACTCAGAGATCCTCCTGCCTCTCCCAGTGCTGGGGCTTAAAGGCGTGCAACACATGACTAGCCTTTTTTTTTTTTTTTTTTTAAGATTTATTTATTGTGTATGTGGGGATGCACGGGTGCCACGGCTCGGGTGTGGGGATCTGAGGACACCTGAGTCGGATCTCCACTATGTTCGATCCCAGAGATCGAACTCGGGTTGTCGGGCTTGGAGATGCGCACTTACCAGCTGAACCATCTCGCTGGCCCTGGGGTAGACTTATAGAATCAGATGCAGAGTGTTCATTACCGATTACTCAAGATGCAAATATAGGTGAAGAAAATACTGACATCAAACAGTACACA